AGTGGACAAATAAATTCAATAAAAATATTTCAAAACGTCCACTTTAAGTACTCAAATAATTGTAGAGCCATACTTATCAGTCCGCGATTGAATTTCTTGATCTTATGCAAAATCTTTTTTTTTAAGATACGTTAAGTTTAGATCTTGTTTTAAAAATAAAAGAACATATAAAAAATAGTTAATTAAATAAGCAGACGGACAGACGAAAATTAATGATATTTTATCACCACCTCCCTATCCAAAAAATTTTGACGAGACAAGGAGTTGGGATGACTTTTGGAAACTCGCCCAATTTACTGTCATCCCTATAGTTGTGTGTATGCTATTTGCAGTGAAGACTACCGGCAGTCGTCCTATGTGGCGTATATTTGGCAATTTTTTATTTGATAATTTGATATATAAGTCAACAAATAACTACCATATGAGTGTATCAAATACCAAATCACCAAGTGTATGCCACGTAGAGCGACTACCGACAGTGAAGACCACGAATAGCATTACTCTAAAGTAAAAGTCATGAATGTTGTCTATTAGAATACTTGACACATATAACTATATAGAAATTGATTTAAAAAATGTACAAAATAAGTTAATTATGCTACTAAGATTCTAATTTCAAAAGATCTTCTTATGTTAAACTATTTAAGCATGAGAACTTAAAGCATAACATTTGCTTCAAAAAACTTGCTAGTGGTATGAACGACATGAAATGAATGTTAAGCGTAACTTGCTTTCATTTTTAAAGACAAAATTCTCAACAAAATGGATGTCTTGCAATTAGTAAACTACTTTTTCTACACATTTTCGCATATGATTAGATTGGCAATTTTTTTTTTTTATACTAGAATAACTTCGCTATAGAAAATCCGAACGTTAAATGAATTGCACTTAACTTACGGCCAATCTTTGAACGGTTAACCATCACCTCTGAATATTTCAAACCATTTATCATTTTCAAAATTGAATTACATTTGTTAATGGATTTTTCGAAGGTTAAAGGTTGAAACAATATGATTATCTTTTCGTTTACGATTTTGTAGGAGGTAAATGATTAAGATTTTTATTAGTTTACTAAATTAATTCATATAAGCAATATATTTTTCGTGGGTAATATCAATAACATTTTTTGAAATAATTGATCACCCTTCAAACTATGGATATTCTGTAGATTAATGCTTGATTTTTTTAATTATTAAAATTGATTACTATTAACAAAGAATACTTCGTAGGTAATATTAATTAATCTTTTACCAATAGATAATCTGTTTCTGATTACACATCACATACGAAATATCCATTGGTAAAGGGATATCGGCGTAACGAACATTCCGTTGGTGATTATCTTAGTTAAAGTAAATTAGTTTACTAACAGATATTTTGTGCTTGATTATCAACGAATATTGATAAGTCACCAACAGAATATATGTAGGTGAAAGATCCAAATTTTAAACGGCTATATGAGGCACGAACTAACTGTTGATAAAAATATATCGTCATTGCAAACGAACATTCTGTTAGTATGATTGGAGTTGAAAGTGAATTACTTTTACCAACAGATAATTCATATATTACCTACGAAATATCCATTGATAAAGAGATATCGTCGTTACCAATGAAATTCCATTGCTGATTATCATAGTTTAAGTAAATTACTTTTACCAATGGATAATTCATTTCTAATTACCAGTAATATTTGGCATGTCACCTAAGGAATATTCGCAAGTGAAAGAATCCAAAATGTTAAACGGTTACATTAGGCACGGAATTTTCGTTGGTAAAGAGATATTATCTTTACCAACGGAAAATCCGTTGCTGATTCTCGAAGCTGAAAGTGAATTACTTTTACCAACGGATGCAATCCGTTGGTAATATTGGGCATGTTACCTACGGAATATCCGTAGGTGAAAGATCCAAAATGTTAAACGATTATATTAGGCACGGAATATTCGTTGGTAAAGAGATATCATCTTTACCAACGGATAATCCGTTGCGAACAATCGATAGATCTAAAATGCTAAACGATTATATTAGGCACAGAATATCCGTTGGTAAAGAGATATTTTTTTACCAACGAAAAATCCGTTGCTGATTCTCATAGCTTATAGTGAATTACTTTTACCAACGGATAATCTGTTTCTAATTACCAACGGATGATCCGTTGGTAATTGGTGAAAGATCCAAATTATTAAACATTTACATTAAGCACGAAATATCCATTGGTAAAGAGATATCATCTTTACCAACGGATAATTCGTTGCTAATTACCAACGAATGTGATCTGTTGGTAATATTCGATACGTCACCTACGGAATATCCGTAGGTGGAAGATCTAAAATGTTAAATGGTTGTATTAGGGACGGAATATCCGCTGGTAAAGAGATATCATTTTTACCAATGGAAAATCTGTTGCTAATTATCATAGTTAAAAGTAAATTACTTTTACCAACAGATAATCTGTTTCTAATTAACAACGGAATATCCGTAGGTAAAAGATCAGAATGTTAAACGGTTATATTAGGCACGAAATATCCATTGGTAAATAGATATCATCTTTACCAACGAAAAATTTATTGCTAATTATCGTAGCTAAAAGTGAATTACTTTTACCAACGGATAATTCGTTTCTAATTACCAACGGATTGCATCCGTTGGTAATTTTCTGTAAATTGCCAACGGAATATCCCGTTGCTGATTATCATAGCTAAAAGTGAATTACTTTTACCAACAGATTACATCCGTTGGTAATTTTCCGTAGCTGAAAAACTGTTTTTTAGTAGTGATAGCATTCTTATTCTCAAATTTTTGTTAGTTAACACATTTTGTATTTGATAATAGTTTTATGTGCAAAAGTCCGTTGAAATGAAGTATTACAACTTATTTTTTATCATGTTTTCAACAAAAAAAATAAAAAATAAAAATTAGTGTGATATTATTTTTTTCTCATTTCAAAGCATGAAAATAAAATATTTTGATGAAAAATCATCATCAATGATAAGACGTACTAATTAATGGAAAGTTAAATATTAGAATTTGATGAACAAAAGTTAAGAAGGTAATTGCTACAATGAGTAAAGATTGGAGAATTTAATTATAATTAGAATGTGGTGTATCAAATAAAAAATTGTGGTGACAATATAACCACTCTTAGCGCAAAAGTTCATCCAACTTAACCCATAAAGTGCATAAGAGATTAGAGTTCATGGCAAAATGGGACCATCACAAGGCAAAAGTTGGCAAAAGGGGCAAATGATTTCATGATGACTTTGGGTTTGCTCATTTTTGGCAAATCACTAGTCTAATTTGATTGGAGCCGAGCCAAGGAATAAAACTCAGTGCCTTTAGCCCTGACGCAAGGCCAATTTCGGGCAAAATCCATCGTTTAGGCCCTCGTTTAATCGTTTTTGCTATTTATGGTAATTTTCATTTTTTGCAATATCTCTTTCCATGAAATTCGGATTTAGATTCCGTTTGTTGGAGGATGATCCCGAAGATAAGTATTTTCCATCTTAGTAATTATCTCATATTTTCCATTTTTGGGAAAAAATATCTTATTTTATTTTATTTTATTTTCCGAATTTTCCTAGGTTTTTCTACTATTTAATCAGTTGTAAGCCCTTAGAGGCAGTAGTTCTGGAATTCAATAAAATCTTTCTTGAGAGTTTTCTCAATTTGTGATTGTTCATCTTCCCTATAATATTTCCGCTACGTCAGTATACATCAAGAGAGAACAATTTCACGCAATTTAGGAAGCATAGGGACATCTATGGAGCATCCACACATTAAGTTCCTGTTCCTCCTTGCTAGGTATTTAAAAAATATATATATATAATCACATTTTTTTTAATAGAATAATTTTACACTGAATTTATAGTTTTTTTTTTACAATTTTTTAATTATTCATTCTCCACAAAAATCATAAAAAAAATCTATTCTAAAAAAAAAATCAAAACGGCTAATATCTGTGTTAGTCTAAATAATTTTTAATTATTAGTATTCGTATGTTGAACGTGTTTCGATAAGAGCCGAGCAGTGGGCTCTTAGCTTAAAAAGCCATGAACCTTCGCTGAGACAAGGCTTTCTATAAAAAGAACGAAGTTAAGTGAAACTATACAAAGTGCAAAATAAAAATGAAGAAACCTAGGGCCTGTTTGAGAATAGATTGTGTGAAAATTGATTATTTTGAAGAATGTGTGAATGTAGAGAAAAATTACAGGATTATGCACAATTTTTTTTTTTTATTAAGAGTATGTGTGATTGTAATGAATTTAAGAAAAAACAAATTCTAAATAAAAGTTTTACCAAACATGGGCCAAGTAGATTTATTCCTTTTCTATTTTGACGAGCATGATTAAAATTTTATTTCTGTAGTTAAGTCCCTGTTTGAAATCCTTTTATGTGTGTGTAAACTCATTTTTAGTCATATATTATCCCGATAAAATAATTCTCCAAAAAATAAAACACAATTAAAGCATCTCTAATATATTCTTTAAATATAAGATGATCTTTAAAGAGTCAACCTTTAAATTATATATTCTAAAAGATTCTTCAAATTAATATTTTATAATAGAAAGTGAGTTTGTATATTCAAATTTGGAGAATTAAATCTACTCTTTACAATTAAATGCATTCAAATTTTTAATGGAAAAAATAATATAATATTTTGGAAAGAAGCTAGTAAAAGTAAAAGATAAAAAAATAATAAATATTTTTTAAAAATAGTAAAATCAAAAGTGTTAATATAAAAAGCCTATCAAAGTACTTCAAAATTCTTTTTAATGGTAAAATATGTTCTTTAAAAATTAAAAAATATATATTTTTTTTGAAAATATCCTAAAATAATAAACTATGTTCTCCCATAAATGGTACCAAACAAACTCTAAGATGTAACTTCTATTAATTTTGTAGTTTTTTCTTAAAAAATAATTCTTCCTTACATTGAAGTTATCAAAGGAAAAAAAAAAAAGAGGGGGTTATGCTGTACGTATATTTAGATGTCAATAACGATGTCCATCTTCCTCGTGAACACCGTTATAGAGGGATGGAAAGGGGTGGACACCGTTACGTTATGTCGGGGATTAACACCACATCATATACACAGCATATTCCTTGCAAGAATATTATGGTGCCGGCCAAACCAACGACTTTCGGGCCTTAAGCTTTGTTTCTCTACCTACCCTAAGGTTACATACAATTATATACAGAAAATCATAATAATTCAGTTTTGGTGCCATCCTGCTATATCACTGGACAATGGAGTCTCCATTTAAGGTGGATATACTGAAAGGTAAAGTAGCGTTGCTGACAGGAGGAGGATCAGGAATCGGGTTCGAGATCTCAACGCAATTCGGTAACCATGGAGCCTCCGTCGCCATCATGGGCCGCAGGAAGAACGTCGTTGACCGCGCCATATCAGTACTCCAATCTTTAGGAATTCCGGTAACTGCTTTTCCTTTTTGGCATATAGTTCATTTATAATCACATTTCTGCGGGATGGTTTTGGAGAAGGGTTAGAAGAACTTTGTATTATTCTTCTCGATTAGACGATTAAAATGAGAAACTGACACTGCAAGTTGACGTTGACTTATCTTGTGACTGATGAATCAATATAAATCTGAGTTTGTTTTGCTTGTTTTCTGATTTGATTATGTTTATTATTGTTTTCGTGAGAAGGGATTAGGCTTCAATCCATAATATTACGTGCACTTCATTTTCAGGCGGTGGGGTTTGAAGGTGATGTAAGGAAACGGGAAGATGCAAAAAGAGTAGTGAAGGAAACTGTGAAGCATTTTGGAAAGCTTGACATTCTTGTTAATGCTGCTGCCGGCAATTTTCTTGTGTCAGCTGAGGATTTGTCTTCTAATGGCTTTAAAACAGGTTTAGAATCTGCCAATCATCCCTCTGTTAGACTGTTACTGAGGGCTAATAATTCTTTATTCATTACTTCATTGGGATCTTCGAATTACTGCTAACATAGTTATTACCTTAAAATTGATGAATGTCAATTATGGCCTCATCCGAGATCAGTCTTAATTTGTACTGTAGTTACTACTAATGACGCGAACATTTCATTTGAATCTGTCTTGTAAAAAGAGACAAGAAAGTCAAGTCTTTGTATTGAACTATTTCTTCTAAAAGCTTTAAAAAATTATCGCACAATCTTTCATAAATGAGTGGAGAGAGACTTGAACTTTGATCTTTACCTGTTTTGATAAAATGTTGAACCAAGCTTAATCTCTTATGGAGGCATGCATTTATTTATTTATATTTAGTCCAAGAGTTTGTTGTTATGTCAAAGTAGAGGCTATAGAACCATCAGAGAAATCTAAAAAGGTAATATGTTAGAACGTATTTGAATGTGATATATCTTAAACACACCTAAAATAAAATTTCTTATTTGATATAAGAGGATAGTTTAACAAACGAAGAGCCAAGTTTCTTTTATATGATTGTTCTTTAGAGCATCCTGCATTCTAGATAGCTCCAATCTTAATGTATACAATTGTAATTACTTTTCTGCAGTGATAGATATCGATGCTGTTGGTACATTTACAATGTGTCACGAAGCACTTGAATATCTCAAGAAAGGTGGACCGGGAAGGAGCTCATCTACAGGCGGATTTATATTGAACATCAGTGCCACTTTGCATTACACGGCGTCTTGGTATCAAATCCACGTATCTGCAGCCAAGGTTTATAAGTTCTATGCTTACTGCACAGATAATTTAACTTCGTTTGCGAATTTTAATCATCGCTCACTTTGATTCAGGCAGCTGTTGATGCCCTTACGAGAAATTTGGCCTTGGAGTGGGGTACCGATTATGATATCAGAGTTAATGGTATTGCACCAGGTCCTATAGAAGATACTGCTGGAATGAGTAAACTTGCACCCCACGCTAGAGAGAAAATCTTTTTTTGAGAAAAGATCTCTTGAAACTTGCAGATAAAGTCCCGAAAGTTTTTGTTTTTCTCTTCACACTGTGCGAAGAGATAATTTGCTCTCTCCGCACCTTGCAATGTCTTTTTTTTTTTTTCTCATGTGCGGGGATTTTTTTTTTTTTTTTTTTTTTGGTCTAATGGAGTTTATATATACTAAACTTATTATTATTTTTTTAATGTTGTTGTCATAATGCATGTGTGGAAGAATATTTGTTAATCACTATAAACAAAAATTTTCACAAAATGCAAAAAAAAAAAAAAAAATGCACAATAAGTGCTCTCTGTATTGCATCTGCACTGTTTGAAATTATCGTCCAGGGGTTACAAGATTAAAGGAACCAGGCGGAAGTTGTTCCTCTGAGGCACGTGTTTTACCATACAAATCTCCCATCATATGTCCCTTGCCAACTACGAGAAAAGCAGGTGTAAACACACTCAAGAAAATGTAATTTCGAAGGTCACAAGTGACACAACTATCAGAAATTCAATTTACTATCATCCAACAAAGATATTATGTTACAGGAAACCCTAGGAAACACTACAGCTGCCAAGCAATGGCCAATGAAATTTCAGTTCGTCATCTAGTTGCCAGACTAAGCGCACACAGGATTATTACCTAAGTCTCACCCCTTGGTTGTGTCACTCTGTCTCTCTTGAGGCTGAGACAGCTGACCCTGTGACGGCGGCCATGACATATAGGGTGGAGGCTGTTGAGGATGTTGACCGGTAAAGAGAGCGGATTGATCCACCGGCTTTCCCATGATCATCCCAGCTGGTCCCACTGAATGCTGAGGAACATAATAATATGGACTTGCTTCTGATGGAGATCCCAGTGACGGGATAGTAGCCTTAGTGACACCAAGCCCCTCCTCTCTTAACTCGTCTCGAGGAATAATATCAACTAAAAAGTCAAAAACATCAGTTCTCGAAATGGCAGCAGCAATATCGTTCTTCTGAAGAGTCCTCCTTTTGTTCTCTTCTGTATGGATCCAGGATCGTTGAGTTAGCTCCAAGATGAACATCTCACACGCCTTTGCAAAAACAACTGGAGCTTCAGCAGAAATCATTCTAACATCTTCATCAGCTTTCATTATTTTCTTGATTCGAGCAAGTGGGAGACTTTGGTTCTTGAAATCATTCGTGTGCTCAACTTCTTGCATTTGATTTGCCCAGAAAGCTTGAAGCTGCTGTTGACTCTGTTGCAGCTGTTGACTATTGAATTGCTGGGGTTGGTGGTGGTAAGCAAGCTGCGAAGCCGGATAAGTACTCGGGGAGGAAATAGCTACGGCTGGAGTGCCAGTAGCCACCACATGTGCTGCTTGGTAAGGATTAGCATATGTCATCTGGCCACTGCCTGGTACAACTCCGACCACTGGCTGCTGTTGTTGCAGATTCTGATGCTGCTGTTGGAGTATGTGGTCCGATTGATTCATGGCTGTCGGTTAAGTTATATTTTATTGTTGTTACAACTATCTCCTCAATCAAATTCTGAAACAGGAAAAAATCTTGATCCCTTTAGAGAATTTTAATCTATGCAAAGAATTTTGTCTAGATGCACAAATCTTATGTAGTACGAGCTACAACAGATCTCGATTGTTTCACATCTCATTCCAATTCTATTACTAATTAGAACATACATACATATATGTGTGTGTGTATATAGACACACACACACACACACATATACATAAATACGAAAGTTACTAAAAAACTGTAATCACTACATAACAAATACTTTAATTACCTACAATGAGCTTGGCAGTAAAAATTATTCCAAAGCATCTTTCTAACTTTAGCTTAATCCCATTCTCTGAATCACTTACTATGACACTCTGATAGGCTCCAATACACCTTACACATTCTAGAAGGACCTAGAAGAAGAATAACCAGCAAGTGGTTGGAAAACTAAAGTCGGTTAGAGAGTCAAAAAAATAGGAGAGAGAAACAATTACAAGTAGCTTATAAATAAAGAAAGGGGGAGAAAGGATTAGGCAGGAAAAAAATAGCGGGTGGAGAGTACAGCCCTCTGGAAAGGTTGATTGTATTTCTTTTATTTCTGTGGTATCTATAAAAGTGGTATCAGACCAATTACCTTGGAAAATGACTCTCAACGATCGAGTAGAGTCCTTGGAAGGAAGAAATGACCGCTTACAATTCGAGTTACATGAGTTAGGTGCAGTAAAAATTGAATTCCAGAGAGCAGTATCTAGGATGATGGATAAGCTTGATCTAATGATAAAAAAAAGGAGAGTACTACAAGAAGAACGGTAGGAAGGAAACATTTAACATGATCGGAAACACTATGCATCCAGAAATTTCAAAGAAAACCAACGAAGCAGAGGTGGTATCAGATGCGAGCACAGAGGCAGTTACCCCCACCGAGATCCTTTGCTTCCGAAATTTCACTCGATTTTGATGAAATCAAGGCAAGCACAGACGATCACAGTGAGGAAATCAGAGCTCTATTGCCAGCACACACTGAAGTGGTGAGGGAAGGCATCCAGATTAATCGGCTGAATCCAATTATTATGACTGAAGGCACGATTACAGAAGTGGCCCAGCGAGTTGAAAATAAAAATGAACATGTCAAGCAAGCCCAGTCCAATTATGAACCGAGTAAAATTAATAGCTATATCCCAAGTCTCACACCCCATTATATGGCCATCTACACAGAGAACACAGTCCACCAACTCCTTACCCGGCAAACGCGACTGCTCCCAAGTCAATGGTCGTCACGGACTTCACCCTACTATGGCGACCAAAGGAGCACTGCCATCTAAGAAGCCAATTACAAGAAGCATTGGCGTAGGAGGATTCCACAACTCGTACCTCGGTGAGAAGATTGTGGCGAAGACACCACACAAGATTTTGGCGATGGATGTGTACAATGACAAGAAGCATCTGCCAGAGCCTCCTGGTGGTTCACCTCTGTGACCCGACCATATCCAGTTTTACCAACTCAATATCAAGAAAGGTTCGCGACTTGAAGGGCTCATCAAGATGGCAGATCTCACAGTAAACCTTGCTACTATTTGTACTCCAAAAACAAGAATCAAGATGATGGTGCATCTTACAAATGGGTTGGGCCAAATGATGGATATGGCTCAACTAATGGAAAATAAAAATAATGGCCTAAAAACGCCTAAGGACACTGTGGGCTCAGGGCTCTTCAAATTAGGGCCAATTTGGGAAGAGGCAAAGGTGAATGACACTCTCGAAATGAGAATTGTGACAATGGAGAAGCAAGCAACCCTACAAAGCAGGGACTACGCCACCAATAATTCCCTACCTTCCACCTTGAGGACAAGGTGGTTTTGGAAACCGAGAGTATTGATGGGCTCCAATACACCTCACGCATTCTAAAAGGACCTAGAAGAAGAATAACCAGCAAGTGGTTGGAAAACTAAAGTCTCTTAGAGAGTAAAAAATAGGAAGGAAAAACGCTTACAAGTAGCTTATAAATAAAGAGGGGGGAGAAAGGATTGGGCAAGAAAAAAATAGTCAGTGAAAACCATACTTTGGAGAGTACAGCCCTCTCGAAAAGTTGATTGTATTTCTTGTATTTCTGTGGTATCTATCACACTCATCATAATCAATAGTTAAAAAAACAGAAAGAAATAGAAAATCGAGTAAGGAAATGGTTTATAGTTTTTCCAACAATTAGCACTACGAAGCTATGAAGTACAAATTCCGTTGGGAAAAACTATTAACACCCAGAGAAGTGGCCAAAATATATAGAAGGCTAGGATAAACTGATTTATTTTGTTTCGCCTTTAGATACGACGACGGATAATAATGTTTCTAAACAAGCCTCCTTCGGCCAAAATGTGCCTATTTATCTAATTTATGTGCGAAATAGAAAAGTCAGAAATAGCAAAAAAAAAAAAAAAAGGGATGAAGGGCAACCAATATAACCGTCCGTGAAAGTTAACCTCATAATATATTCATCGCTGAACCAAAAAATAAAAATAATCCCCAAAATTTTTTCCAGACCAAGATAAATTTTCACTTCTAATCACATAACTTTTTTATTCGTTTGTTCTCACGTTTTAAATCATCAAATAAGAAAATGAACAACAATAACAAAAAGTATAAAAGTAAACAGAATAATTTTCTACCACCCCACCCGATTACAATCCAAAGATAAATCATCTTTACACCATAATTCACAAAACACATGAGGAAGAACATTAGAAAACCAAAGAAATCCGAAAAAAAAATAAAAGAAAATAACGAAAGAGACATTTACCCATATTTTCCGAATCAGAAGCCGCGGATTTCTCTGATTGCTCAAACCCTAAACGAGAGGAGTGTGAGCCCGCGTGAATCTATAAGCAGATTACACGTAAAAACGATTTCCTCTTTATTTATATAACAAACAATTAGAGAGAGCGAGAGAGAGAGAGGAACAGGTAAAGGGAAGGTCAGATATTTTGAATATGATCCAGAAACAAAAAGAAAAAGATACTCTTGGGACGGGGTGGGTTGTGGGGAATGTGTCCCTGGAAACGTGTCGTAATTCAGCGGAGAGCAGATTAGGGCTTCCACGCGTTAGATAGTTATTGGGAAAAGGGGTACATTTACAAAAGGCCTAGTCTTGTAAAATTTTTTGAGGCCTAACTTATGATAAAAATGTTTTTGAGGCCTTTCTTAGGTTAAAATATCCAAATAATCCTTGTCATATTATTGAAATATCCCAAATGTCCTTAGTGTATAATGACTATAATACCCATTTTTCAAATAAAAATTATAATCGTTAGTTTCATTTGTTGTTATTCTTTGGAATTTCAGATTCATCCTCCTCCTCCTCTTCTTCTTCTTCTTCTATAATCTTCTACTTCTTCTTCTTTATTCTTCTTTTTTCTTTCAATATAATTTTACTTGAAATATAAAGAAGCACATCAAAGAAGAAACCCTTACATTTATGTATTTTATGTCGGTTAGATATTATTTTCACTTTTAATGTTTTGTGAATCTTGTTTTTTTTATTTTCACTTTTAATGTTTTTTGAATCTTTTTTTTTTTTTTTTTTTACTATTTTTACATATATTCATTGTCATTTGTGTTTATTTAATTCTTTGAATGTATTTTTCAATCTCAAGTAGTTTTGAAAGCAAAATATCATATACTTTTTAGCTACAAATTCATTGTTGACGTATTAAATGACTGTAGTCGTTTTAAACGACCACATAGTAGTTTAAACGACTGTAGTCGTTTTAAACGATCGTAGTCGTTTTTTAAATGACTGAAAACGACTTCAATAACTTTTATATTACTGTGAATGAGTAAATGCTAACATTCTAAAATTTTGCTATTCTAATTACAGATATGGACTCAACAATATGGATTTCTATATTTTATTTTGGTGATTTTGTTAATGATGATCAAGGAAATTGGACATGGAAACGAAGTGGGAGTAATGAAATGGTGGAAGGAGTTCCAATATCTTCAAATATTTCATATCATGATCTGTATTGTGAAGTGTTAAATCTTTGCAAAGTTGATTCATCTTTGCATGAAGTTGAGATGAGATTTCTCCTCCCTGGAAATGGTCAGTTTACAATTCCAATTAAAATTATTTCAAATAGGCATGTGCAATGGTTGCTATCTCTCAACAAAAAAGATCACTGTCCCATTTGTGTAACCCTTGTAAGCAAATGTTCAGTCGAGGATAGACAAAAAGAAGATGATGATTCATTTCATGAAGTGGAAAACAATGAAGTTTATTGTGAAATACAAAATGAAGGCGATAATCTTCATTGTGAAATGCAAGCAAATGATGACAATGAAGTGGATCGGACTGAAATTATTGATTGGGATGAGTTAGAATAGCCAGAGACGATAACGTAGATATTATCACTGAAAACGGTAACGCTGTTGTTTTCTCTACAGATATGGATCTGAGATACTTCAAAAGAACAGAGAAGAAAATCGTTTTACAAATGAACACCTGGTAGCTTCAATTCTTACATCACAAGTTATTCCAGAAGATGAAGATTTAGAAGATTGCCAAATTTCCAACGCAAAAACAGATCTTATGATGAAAGTTCACATACTTGCAATGAAGTACAACTTTGAATTTAGAATGAAGAAATCAAATAAGGAAGTCTATACAATTATTTGCATAGATGAAAAATGCAAATGACGTTTGCGAGCAACTAAATTCAAAAATTGTGATTACTTTCAAGTTCACAAGTATGTACACGAACATACTTGCTCTGTGAGTATTCGCCAAAATGATCATAGACAGGCAAGATCGTGGGTTGTTGGAAGACATATAATGCCTGCGTTTCAAAATCCTAACACGGTACATAAACCTACAGACATCATTAATGACATGCGTTGGGAATTCGGTATAGACATGAGTTATCAGAGGGCGCGAAAATCACGAGAATGAGCTTTAGAAATTTTAAGAGGTTCCTTGGAGGATAGTTATGCTAAATTGGGCTTATATTCTCATAACTTGGCTAAAACTAATCCTGGAACAGCATTGTCTTTAGAGATTGATGGTGAGAATCGTTTCAAGTACTTTTTCATGGCTCTTGGACCTTGCATTCGCGGATTTCTCTCTTCAATGCGGAAAGTAGTTGTTGTTGATGGAACATTTTTGATGGGAAAATACAAAGGTACGCTGATTGTTGCTACTTGTCAAGATGAAAATATTCAAATTTATCCTCTTGCTTGGGGTATAGTTGATTCTGAAAATGATGCATCATGGACCTAGTTTTTTATGAAATTGAAAGAAGTAAAAGGGAATACTGAAGATCTTGTTGTTATATCTGATCGACATCCAAGTATTATCAATGGAGTTCAAGCTATCTATCAAAATGCCCATCATGGTCATTGCATCTATCATATAAAAGGTAACTTAAGGACTGTAACTAGAAAAACAGAGATTTTCCTACTTTTTAAGAAAGCAGCAGAGGCATATACTTTAGAAGAGTTCGGAAATTATATGAATGAAATGAAGAGAATTGATATTAAAGCTTGGGAATATTTAGTGAAAGCGCCTTTCCATACTTGGGCAAGGTCACACTTTCAGAGAAACCGTTACAATATCATGACATCGAATAATGCTGAGTCACTGAATTCAGTGTTTAAGAAAGATCGACGGAATCCGATACTTGCATTGATAAAGAGTATTAGGAAAAGATTGCAGAAATGATTTTATGAGAGGCGTGCGAATGCACAAAGCTGTACAAGTACTTTGACACCAATAATTGAAGAGAAATTGCGTAAGAATGTTGATAAAGCCAAGAGGTTTGTTGCCGAGCCGATCGATCAGTTCATGTATGATGTGAGGAATGACACCACGAATTTTGTTGTTAGCTTAGATGAAAAAACTTGTACTTGTAGGCGATTTCAATTTGAACATTTACCGTGCGAACATGCAGTAGCTGCGGCGAGGAAGAGTGGCTGTTCAATTTACTCATTCTGCTCTCTGTACTATACTGTTGTACATTACTGTAAGTCGCATACTTAGAAACTAAATCCGTTATACTTGAACATGATTAGTGGAGCACGATGAATTGCATGTAATGAAGCTCGTCTTCTTATTTCATTTGAAGCTAATAAGTCGAAACCAAACACAATTTATAATGTTAGAAGGTTGATTGTCACCTTATATGTCGTTGTACATTACTGTAAGTTGCATACTTAGAAACAAAGTCCATTATACTTGAACATTGTTAGTGGAGCACGATGAATTGCATATATTGAAGTTCGTTAAATGGTTGATTGTCACCTTATATGTCATTAAAAGTGCAAACAACTCTACACACTTTAGGAAAACGACTAGGGTCGTTTAAAAAAGACTACAATCGTTTTTGGAAAACGACTATAGTCGTTTAAAACGACTGTAGTCTTTTTTAAACGACTGTAGTCTTTTTTAAACGACTAGAGTCATTTTAAAGGAAACGACTGTAGTCTTTTATAGTTTTAAATGAAACGACTGTAGTCATTTAAAAAGACTGAAGATGACTACAAGTCTTTTTAAATGACTACAATCGTTCTTTTCAAAAAAGGCTGAAGTCTTTTAAACGACTATAGTCAGTTAGAAGATGACAACATTAAACAATCAACATTTAAAAAAAATCGACATTATCTCCCTCATAATGTAAACTATATCAACCTAAAAAACAAACTTCTATTCATAACATCAACATTTAAAAAAAACGACATTATCTCCCTCATAATGTAAACTATATCAACCTATAAAATAAACTTCTATTAATAACATAAAAAAACCCCACGTTCAACATAAACTATAAAATTATATTTACATTCAGAACTCATAAACATACAAATACACCAAAAGGTCCTAAGGTTCATAATCAAGGGCAAAAATATCAGCAGCCATCTTTTCCCTCCATCTGTTCATATAGGAGCCATTAACTTGTTCTATTGGACTGTTGATGCTCAAGAATTCTATATATTTTACTATGTACATACCACAATCGCCTCTGAAAGATAATAAATCATGGTAAATAAAATGATATAACTAAATTGATATGAACAAGTAAATATTGAATTGTAATAAATAAAAAAAACTTAGAAATGACTTGTTTAGTTGTTTTGTACTCCTTTCTATGGCCACAGTATCTGTCTCCAAATCAATGTTGATTTCCTTCAAAAGTAGACAGACAGTGATACTAGCAGCCTTCAAGTCATCTTTGAGTTGATCGTTCATAATGCAACCCTTATCAGGATCATACACACATATTGTTGCTTTGCAAAAGTCTATCTTAACTGCGAGCCAATGTCTGCAAGTACATAACGGAAAATATACATGTGTATATTCCTGCCATTTCCTTCCAAATGATGGCCTTGCCCCGGTGATATACTCCATTAGCTCTACTGGAATTCTGAAATGATCTCCTTGCTCATGTAAATCAAGCATAGTAAAGGTCAAGAGGTTATTAAATTGCACATCCAAAATAGCTCACGAACTACCAAATGACTTGGGATATTTGGTTGCCCGAGCTCGCAACAAATGCAGTGCTATGTCAACATGCTGAGAGTTGAATATATAGTTATATACAAGATAATCGAATAATACAAGTAATGAGTTAACATACTTACTTCCTCTAGAAACCATCCCCTGGTTTCAACACATCGTTAAACCATTTTTTCGCGTCTTCTAAGTTGATATGACCCAATTCATATGAGACACTGAAGAAAAATACAAAATTGTAAAAGAATACATGTGAAAAGTAAAAAAAAGAATTGGTAAAAATGCTTACCCATCACCTAAACTGGAGTGCCATTTAGAGAAATGTTTCTTCTTAACCGGGTCAACGTCTCCAAAAAGATCAACATTCGTGCTGTCAACATGTCTTCTCCACTTAGCTCCAGTCGTGTATGGAGAGGAAACTAACTTTGAAGCTTTTTAAGTCTTTTATCTCGCATCAGGATATCAGTTTGTTGATAAGTTCTATCTGAATTTCTCTTTTTACAAGTGAAAACCTTAGTGTACATC